GAGCCCGCAAGTCGTCTGTGGGAAACGGATGCTTTAACCCGTTATGACTTGAAAACCTAAACCTGGACACTTTAATCGGCTGTAGTGTGCTCAGGGGTTTAGCATGCTTTAATCAGGGTGCTGGGGACAGAAGCGAACCAAGCTTCTATACTCGCCACTGTAGTCCGCCAGGAGCCTTACTGTACCCTAAAGCCAAAACCTGAACTTCAGAGACCGCCGCTATAGCACAGTATAGAGCCGCCGAGCTACACCCTACAAACCCCAACACAAACCCTACGTAGAGGATCATGGGACGTAGCGAGTAGGTTAAAACTGGGGAGAGAAGTCCCCTAAGTGGGGTATTATATCCTACTTATGACCTTACTGACTAAGTCCCAGGAGCCTTGAAGTAGACCCTAGACCCTAAACCCTGAATAGGGAACCCTGCTATAAAACCCTACAGTACCCTTAAGAGGAACCCTAAACCCCAAGACGCAAACCCTAAAAAGGGAGCCTATACTGTAGAACCCTGCAGTACCCTTAAAAGGAACCCTAAGCCCTAAACCCTTGATTGGGACCCTACTATAGAACCCTGCAGTACCCTTGACAGGAACCCTGAACCCTAAACCCTTGCAGAGGGAACCCTGTTATTAAGTCCGTCGCGTGGCTCCGCTCCAGGTTGGGGCTCCAGGAGGAGCTAGCGGCGTTAAGCAGCTCTGCTCCCGTTTCGAGCAGCAAAAGCAGGTAATGTAGGAGCCTATCATTGTAGGGGCCTTAGTAAATAGAATAGGGTTTCCTTAAAGGGATCCTATAAGGGATATTCTAAGGCTACTGCAAGGATATAGGGGCCTTCACAATGAGAATAGGGTTATGAACCCCTTCAGATCATAATTCTAATGAGCCCCAAGGAATACCTTTGGTAATTGTTCCGGCTTCTATATTAACATATAGGGGCTTTAACAATCATACTTAGAAGACTTACAATAGAGTTCCTTTCGAGGGTTACTTTTCGGCTGGTTTAGTACAGGGGTCACAGTTAGTCAAAATGAACTGGTGCGTTTTCTAGTATGGTTTTGTATCAATATATACGTGTGTGTACATATAGATATACACACACGCACATATATAGGGACTAAAAGGGTATACGACAGGCTATCATGCAAGCCTCCCTTCTCCGCACTATCAGCACAGGCCTGGAAACTGGGGATGTATAGGAAAGCCGTTGAGTACAACTAGGACCTAAGACTATCTATGCATTTTGCAGGATACAGGGCTCAAGGTTTCGCGCGTCTTGCTACATCTCAGGGACTCCAATATCCCTTAATTATTGAATAGACCTTAAATTATAGTGGATCCTTAATCGGATTCAATGAATATACTCCTGAATCGCAGGGACTCCAATATCCATTAATTAAGGAAGATTCATTAAATCATATTAGGGATCCTACTATAATTTAAGGTATATTCCTTAATTAAGGGATATTAGACTCCCCTAAACCCTAAACCCTAGAGATCCCTTTAAGGATCCCTTTAAGGATCCCTTTTAGGAACCCTTAGGGTATATTATATTCCTCAATTAAGGGATATTGGAGTCTCTGGGACTGCTTGTCACTTGGCAGAGTCCGGTCTGGTATCGTGAGGTCGTCACAGGTGAGGTCGAGTCCCCGACGAGCACTCGCTGAATGATCTTGGCACTCTAGGATATCCAGTAACCTAAGAATTAAAAGGCCTCTCTTTTTGGTATTGGGTAACTTTATAAGGAACCTAGGACAACAAAAGGGAACAAGGGTACTACTGGGCATCCGAGTTGGTACAGTATGTAAGTTCACCCACATCCCCTCCCTGAGAATAAAGGCATCCTTGTCTAACTGTTCACTGTTGGGAACGGAGGCTCGAAAATAATCAGTGAAAAAGGGCAACAATTACTCGAGGACCTGGATTCCTGAGTTCCTTATGTGGATTCTAAAGTCCCGCGGGATGAACTCCTGTTGCGCTAGGTGGGTATCTTGCCTGCTGTGCTGACTTGTATGGCTACTGCTTGGGGTTGTTGAAATCTTGGTTTATAGCTACCAATTGAAGGTGCAGTTTCGAACCGGAACCTGGCCGGTTTAGGGCTTAGGGTGCCATGCAAACAGATACAAGACTCCCCTCGGCGTGTCAGGGCCCACGAGCCCCCTCGATCCAACGGAAAATCCAGGGTGGACTTATCCGTGCCACCGATTTGCGACAGGTCGGCACCCTTTTGCAAGCCAATTGCTGGAATCTTAAATCTCACCCTTGACCCTAAAACCTCTATATTGCAAGGTTGTTAAGGTGTGTCTTCCGTGTTTAGAACTAGGTCTTTGGGGTCTGGAGGTGTAGGGTGCTGGTTTGGGGGCGCCTATGTTAAGCTGATAGTTTGGAAAGACCATGGTTGAGGATTCAGGCCGCTATGCTGTGGTTGCTTTTGCTGGTAGCAACAGAAGTAGTAGCACTACTCTTGCACTTGTCGAATCTAAGGTGATACAAGTACTGTAGCGATTCTGAACTGAACCCCAAACCCTAAACCGACTGAGCACTTGCAGGTCCATAAACCATAAACCCTAAATCCTAAAGCCTAAACCCTAAACCCTGGTTTATGTATTCCATGTTGACAAAATCTGAGGTGATGAGCCTCTGCGCCCCGCACCCAAAACCCGACAACCTCTTGCTGCTAGAAGCAGGGCATAGGGCCCCAAACCCTAAAGTAGAAGCCAGAAAGTTGGAATATCATTATCCTAAACCCTTTATTGTAAATTATAGGGGATCCTACCCTGAAACCATATTCCAACTTTCTGGAGTTCCCTTTAGACCCTAAACGCTAAACACTCAACCCTAGTTGGAAGGGCAGGGGACTTAGTAAGTAGGTTATAAGTAGGGTTATAATTGGGGTAACTCCATTTACGGTGACCCTACAGTAAACTCCATAAAGTTGGAAACCGAATTAAGGCCAACTAGTGCTGGGATTCCCTATACATTAATCTTCAGGATTGAGGCTATTGGGTTGCCAACTTTTGGGCTTCTACCCTAAACGCTAAACACTCAACCCTACTTGGAAGGGCAGGGGACTTAGTAAGTAGGTTATAAGTAGGGTTATAATTGGGGTAACTCCATTTAGGGTACTTATAACTCTACTTACAACCTACTTACTAAGTCCCCTGCCCCTCCAAGTAGACCCTAAACACTCAACCCTAGGCCCTTTAAACCTAAACCCCAAACCCTAAACCCTAAACCCCTAAACCCCAAACACTCAACCCTAGGCCCTAGGCCCTTTAAACCTAAACCCAAAGTCCCTAAGTCTCTTAGCCCCTCTGGAGCCTAAACTGGAATTATCCTAATTATAACTTACTTCTACTTACTAAGTCCCATGATCATAGTAAGTAGATTATAACTGGGGTTATAAGTCCCCTAAGTGGGGGTTGTCCTCATTCTAACCCACTTATAACCCTACTTACTAAGTCCCATGATCCTTTAAGTAAGTCCCCAAGTCCCTATAGAAGCCCCTACTTGGAGGGTCGGGGGACTTAGTAAGTAGGTAGTAAGTAGACTTATAAGTACCCTCAAAGGGACCCTAATTGGGGGTATGATACTTATAAGTCCCTAAAATAACCAGTTACTAAGTCCCCCGACCCTCCAAGTATAGAGCCTCAGCCATCGGCTGGGCTGCCGACCGCAAGATTCGCAAGCTCTTCAGCCCGATGGAGCTGAACACCGACTTGGTCACTGCGCCGAGAACATCAACGCAGACCCATGATGAAGAAATCCACTAAGGATTCCTTTAAAGGGCTCCTATAAGGGATGCTAAAGGACTCCTACAAGGGATCGAGGGATATAGGGGCCTTAATAATTAGAATAGGGTTTTGGGGCCCGTGATACTATAGTTACAATAAGGAATCCCCCAGCCACTATAAAAAGGATTCCTTTTAAGGGTCCGTCTACATTTTTTTGATGGGTTCCTTTCCTAGGATACCCAGTAACCTAAGAATAAAAAGGCCTCTGTTTTTGGTATTGGGTAACTTTATAAGGAACCTAGGACTACAAAAAGGGAATAAGGGTACTACTGGGCATCCTAGTTTATGGGTCAGAGCTTAACGTTTAACAGCTCCCTCTCAATCTACGAATCTGCATGTTGTCATCGGGATCTCAACACACGTTCCCACCAAAACAGAAAAAATGCCCTGAAGCCTAGACCATCCGCTTGGATCCCATGTTGTCCTCGGCATCTTGCATCATGGGTCTACATTATCCTTCAACTGCGCCACCCGGCTCCGGCTGTCCAAACTCCAAGTGTTTCTGAGGGATTTTAGGGTTAATTTGGGTTTGGGGTTAGGGCTTGGCTACGCACCCAAAAGGGATTCCGTTCCAGTCTTTCAAATGCACACTCCCTGAAACAAAACACAACCGAAGAATATGCAATGGGGACACCCGAAAATGGCAGTAGAGCTGACAACAAGGGTTATAAACATCCAATCGTGCAGCAGGATGGTGGCAGTAGCCACCAGAGAGAAAACACCGACACGAGAAGTAACACGTGTTGCTATGTGTCATCACGGTGAAAACGACACGCAAGCAACAACAGTAGCAATCGTGAGACTCATCACCGACATGAGATCGTGGAAAGATCGTATGCACACCAACTACATCTTAAACCCTGCTTGGAGGGTCGTGGAACTTTGCATTGACTTATGTTATAAACATGTAAGCATCAATACCCCCAATGAGGAACCTTTTTATAACAACCTACTTATGACTTACTTGCTAGGTCCGCCGACCCTCCAAGTACAGTCCTAAAGTACACCAAAGCCCTTGCGGGTGGGTAGAGAATGGGGTTCACTGTTTTTCGGCATGCAGGATTTCGGGGCGTCGGGTTTGGTGTTTAGGTCAGCTTCATCGATTCTTACGGATTGTTCGTCGGGAAAGACCCTTGATAAGTCAGCCGGGCGCAGCATCTTAACCCTGACCCCTACACCGGTTTGGTTCCACAAGCTGCGCTGATCCGCAGGTCACCTGCTGGCGACTACTTAAAGGCTCATGCGATTTAGGAAGTCAGGTTACAAGTAGTTTATTATCTTTAGGATAACCCCAGTTAACCCCAGTTATAACCTACTTACAGAGTCCATTGATCCTCTAAGTAGGGCAAGGTTTGGGTCTCTCGCTGCCGATACTTTAAGGTTTGGTTTAAGGCTTAGGGCCTAAAGCCAAAAAGCGTTTGGGTGTTTAGAGAAATCCTAAACCCTTAAGCCCTTAAATCTAAACTTCACTTTCAAATTCCCAAAGTCCGAAACACTACTTGATTAAAAGCCCAGAATTCCTACATACAGAGCGGCCCGAATCCAAAATCCCGAAGCGACTTAGGCAACTGGACTTCATGGTTAGGGCTTTTAGCGTTTATAGCTTATAAGGCTTAGAGCTTTCGGGCGTTGGGTCACACCTCCGTGTTAAAACCTAAAATAAGGACTGCTATATACCCGTGGGCAACCTAGCTTGAACTTAAAGTAATTTCCAGAAAGTTGTAGGATTCCGTACATACCTTGGCCCAAACAAGAAACCCTAAACCCCAATCCCTAGATCACGAACTCTATTAGAGTCAGGGATACACGTCATTGCCCGCTTTGTTTGGGGGTCTTTTCAATTGAGTCACAAAATCTACAAACCCCCACCAACAACAACTAAACTCCCACTGAAAACAACTAAACTCCCACTGAAAACAACTAAGCTCCCACTGAAAACAACTAAACTCCCACTAAAAACAACTAAGCTCCCACTAAAAACAACTAAACTCCCACTGCACTGCAAACGAGAATTACAGGGAGGAGCAGGTCACTGAGCCATCATGCAGAATAATCAGCGTCCAATCCCACCAAAATCCTACTTAAATCCCACCAAGCTCCCACTGAAATCCCACTAAACTCCCACTGAAATCCCACCAAACTCCCACTGAAATCCCACTTTCTGGCTCCGGGTGTGCAGTTCCCACCAACAGCCCACACCAATCCCACCAAACTCCCACTGAAATCCCACTAAACTCCCACTAAAATCCCACCAAACTCCCACTGAAATCCCACTCTCTGGCTCCGGGTATGCGGTTCCCGCACACTTTGCACGACAACCTTACCCCACCCAACATGTACAATGGAGAGTGACGGTCAACTCCTTCCTCACAAAATCCTGATATTTTCCCTAGGTTTTCCCAGCACCCCGTTGCACGGGAATTTATAGGGAATTATGTGGGATTTATGCGGTGTGAGGCCTACGATACAGAAGGGTCACTTGAAGAAGCACGAAGGCGCTTCAAGATCTAAACCCAAAGCCCTCCCTTAGACAACCACGGTTTGTGTAGCCCTTAGCCCCGAACCCGAAGGCTTCTGTTGAGGCTGCCGACAACAGCGGGGACCGAACTGTCCTTGGCCGACGGGAGAGCCACGGTTTAGGGTTTAGGGTTTAGGGTTTAGGGTTTAGGGTTTAGGGTTTAGGGTTTAGGGTTTAGGGACTGCAGCCTACCACCGATATTGACATCGTAAGAAAAGAGCCCTGTACACCACTCGCCTTTTGGGGCTGGGTGCTATCGGCAGGAGGCCAATCCTGAAGCAATTCGTGCTTCTTCTGGAGCATCTCGACGGCTTTTTCATACTCACTCTGGCATGTCCAGCACGAGCCAAGAGACTGCAATATTCCTTAATTAAGGAATATACCTTAAATTATAGTAGGATCCCTAATATGATTTAAGGTATATTCCTTAATTAAGGGATATTGGAGTCTCTGGGAGCGTGCTCGCGGAGACCTGCTTGCGACACACCCAGCTCCCAAAGCTGGTCGCAGCAGCCTGTCCTCGCATTGGAACCGAGAGGGCTTGACCCAGAGACTCCAATATCCCTTAATTAAGGAATATAATATACCCTAAGGGTTCCTAAAAGGGATCCTTAAAGGGATCTATAGGGTTTAGGGTTTAGGGGAATCTAATATCCCTTAATTAAGGAATATTCCTTAAATTATGGTAGGATCCCTAATATGATTTAAGGAATATTCTTTAATTAAGGGATATTGGAGTCTCTAGGGAACACTGATTCAACACATTATCCTTTGGATTATCCTACTCCTGACTACTCCTAAGTATCCCCGCCAAACTGAATGTCTGAATTTGAATTCTAAATCCCCAACCTCTCTATGGCCTCGACCCGACTCTCCTCTTCCTAATTCTCCTATCTTCTTCTATCTTCTCCTATCTTCTCTTACATTGGACCAACCAATCCCCGAACCTTAAACCCTAAACCAAGGAGACTAAACCCTAGACCCTAAACCGCTATGTAGGGGCCTGAATAATTAGAAGAGGGTTTTGGAGTTATACTATAACTATAATAGAAAACCACCAAAATAGTATAGGTAATTATTACGGCCCCTATACTAAACCCCCATAAAACCCCTTATAGTAATCCTTGTAGACCCCTTTTAAAGGAACCCCAAAAAGAGTATTGGTAATTATTTAGGCCGTTGTACCATAGAACCCTACTCTAGATCCCCTATAGATTCCTTTAAGGAGCCCCTTTAAAGGAACCCTATATTTAGGGGCCCTTGTATTCAAGGAACCCTGCAGTCTCCAAGACTTCTCCCCCCGCCTTTGCGCTTCCTTATTTGCCTTCCTGGACCGGCGATCGATTTTTTGTAGGGGCTTCGTTCTTGGGATTTGTGGGGGTCTGGGGTTAGGGGTCTAGGCTTTAAGGCTTCAGGGCTTAGGATTTGGGGGTTAAGAGGTTTAGGGCTTTAGGTTTTTAGGGTTTAGGGTTTTGTACCTGAGTTAGGGTTTTGTAACCCTAGTTACTACGTTTGAAGTATGGTCCCATGAGTTACCCAGGGAGCCCAATACCCCTTAATTAAGGAATGCATCTATGTTTCATAATCTAAGGTATAATCGGTATCGAAGGGGTGTTGAGCACTCTGGGCTTGGCAAACTTGACTACCAAAACCTACTTTTTGGTAGAGTTCCTGTACAATCTATATTAGGGTGTATACTTAGAGCCTACAAAAAGCAGGTAGCCTACAAAAAAGCAGGCTGTGATTGTCTCAGGCAGGGCTTAGGGTTCTGGTTATTGGTGGCCTTTTGTTAGATGCTCCCTTGCTTGATAGTTACTGAGAGGTTTCTCTGGCGGCGGTTGCGGGGGTGCCCAGGGGGGGACTCCAATATCCCTGGATTAAGGAATATTCATTATATCCGATTAAGGCTCATACTCATACTATAATTTAAGGTATGTATTGCTTAATTAAGAGAAATTGGGGTCTTTGGGTGTCCCATCATGGGGACCTTACTTAAAGGCTCATGGGACTTAGTAATTAAGGGCTTAGGGCTCCCTTTCAGGGTACTACAGGGTTCTACAATAAGGGCTTCGGGTTTACGGTATACTCAAAGGCTGGGACTTATAAAGCAAGGGTATAAGTAGGTTAAAATCAGGATAACCCCACTTAGGGGACTTATAATCCCAACTATACCTGCTTACTAAGTCCCATGATCCTTTGAGTACCCTAAAGCCCCCCTTGTAGAACCCTTAATAGATCCCTTAAAGGAACCCTACACTTACTAAGCCCCATGATCCCCTAAGTAGGGTCAAGGGGTCAGCCTGGGTTAACTCTGAGCACTAAGCCTAAACTAGAGGACCCAGAGACTCCAACATCCCTGAAATAAGGAATCTACCGTAGATTATAGAAGGATCCCTAATATGACTTAGGGTAAATTCCCTAAGTAAAAGATGTTGGAGTCTCTGGGGATAAAGACCATGTTGAATTTGATTGGAGGCAACGGGGGGGGGGGGGGGGGGGGGGGCTTTTAAGACAGTTGGGTTGGGGTTCCCCAAACTGGGTGATTATTATGGTAGCCCCTTTGTGAAACCTACATGTGCCAAACCGCTCTTAGCTTCCTATGTCATGTGTAGGCATAGGGGGGGGGCACTACATAAATCCTAAACCAGATACCCTAAACCCTAGAATCAGACTTGTTGACCCGGAACCCTTGCATATTCTTCGTCCGAGAAGCCCGATTTGGCGGATCCCTACATTACTACAATCCAACAAATATTTCCCATTGAGAATCCCATGTGAAGAATCGCTGCAGTACTCCGCAGAACCAACCCTACATCCTAAACTGGGCTTTTGAGTAACCAGTGGGAAAAAGTATACACTGTCATTTCACACTGGTTCCTTTAATTTAAGAAAAATATTTTCAAGTGTGGTACTCCAAAGCTCAGTAAACCCTTCTCCCAAAACCCGAACCGAGGATCCCTCCTAGAATTTAAGGAGCCTTAGCGGCAAAGATTAAGGGTATGCGACCCTACTTAAAGGATCATGGGACTTAGTAAGTAGGTTATAATTGGCGTTATAAGTCCCCTAAGTGGGGTTGTCCTAGTTATAACCTACTTATAACCTTACTTACTAAGTCCCATGAGCCTTTAAATTGCTATAAGGTATATGAACCCTTAACCCTTTTCGGGTTCTTTTCGTCCTTAAGGTTAGGGTTAATCGAAGCTTCTGAAGCGCTCTAGCAAGCTTGGCGAGCTTGTAATGTAGGGGCTTTAATAATTAGAATAGGGTTTGGGGGTATATTATAGTATAGCTTCAACAAGGTACCCCCAAAACCCTGTTCTAAGTATTAAGGCCCCCACATTACGCAGTTCCGGGATCAGGATTGTAAACCTCTGGGTTTAGGGTTTCAGAAGGAAGGATCTTACAATTGATAACCATACACCCTAAACCCTAAACCACGAACCCAGAGCCCACAGTTCAACCCTCACACCTTGAACCAGCCTTACAAATCCTGTGACAAACTGAGCATGAACTTCCATCTTTGCCCCGAGTACTTAAAGGCTCATGGGACTTAGTAAGTAAGCTTATAAGTAGACTACCATTAGGATAACCCCACTTAGGGGACTTATGACCCCAGTTATAACCTACTTACTAAGTCCCATGATCCTCCAAGTATTAGGCCAACCTGGGCCCTAAACCCTGAAGATATTGAACCGCAAACAACAACTGCTCAACACATCGTACCTCGTCTTCTTCGAGCTGGCTCGGACTTCGCGAAATTCGTGGCTATGGCAGAAGTCACACAGCCTGGGTGATATCTAGCGCTGCGGGTTCCATGGTGCAAGACTTGGCCACAAATGACCCTCCTTTGCAATGGATGCAGGAGTTTGCTTTTGTTGGTTGTGATCTGTAAGCATTAAAGCTAACCCTCTGGGGCACTTGTTTTGCGAAATGGGTTCCATTGTTTGTTTAGTTTAGGGGCCTTTCTATCTTCCCAGCAGGGTCTTGTAAGAACCCTGCTGCATATAATCAAGAAATGGTGTACTGTACTCGCAATCCTTTACACCCCCCCTCCCGAAAGCACTCTGTACTCTTGTCAGAGTCATTCATATATAGAAGTAGGAATATTTCATGGTAGTATGAATCCCGTATAATCCACGCATATTATATTGGAATCTACACGAGAACCCTCATCTAATCCCTCATGCAATCATTCCGACCTCTGCGTTTCTCAGACTTCGCACCATAGCGTTCGGGCTGTGTGCTGAGAGTTTATGCGTGGATCTGCTCCGGGACCTTTAGATGCTGAAGCAAAGGCCCCAACAGCCCTTAAGTAAGGAATATGCCTGAGCTTCCCAGAAGATTACTCATGTGTTTTGTCAGGTACATTTCCGAATTAAAGGATGTCATTCAGGTATATACCTTGAATGAGGGGCTCAAACGTTACGATATAAAGCATGACCAAGGGTGTTGGGATCTCTGAGAAATTCCCTCTTCAGCAAGTCTGCTCGGCTGCTATCAATCAATCATATATATATACTATACTTAAAGGCTCATGGGACTTGTAGTAAGTTAGCAAGTAAGGTTATAAGTAGGTTATAATTAGGATAACCCCACTTAGGGGACTTATAACCCCAATTATAACCCACTTACTAAGTCCCATGATCCTCTAAGTAGGCGACCAGACTTCGAATCTTCTTGTTGAGCAAGGACTACAAAAAAACACAAACTAAGGCCCTCCAAGACAGGCACTTTGCTAAACAGAGGTCTACAATATGTGGGAGTTCTCTGAGTTGGGTCATGTTTTGGGTCCCCTATAAACCATACGACACCCCTATGACAAGGACCCAAAACGGACCCTATTTTAGAGAACTATCCATGTAGGACTTCACCAGAATTTTGCATGCAGCAGGGCAGTCCAAGAGCGGCACCAGCTTTTCTTACACCGACCAGGCCAATGTTCGAACCTGATGGGTTTAGGGTTTAGGGTGGGAGGTGCTGATTGAGTATGCCGTAAACGGTACAGCCTGATCCCTACACCCAATATTTTGATTGGCGTTTGGAGCATTTGTGCAGTATGTCTAAGTGTATGAAGGATCTCTCGGAAGGGGAATTACTAACTATTAAACCGTCAACACGCAAAAAAATACTTTACAGTTCCTCAGCCTGAGCCCTAAACCATTAATTAGATCACAAGCAAACCCTGAACGCAAATCGACACTAGACCACACACTCGAAACTCTAAACGTTTGGGGCCTTCTCTGGTTAGACCACAACTATCCAAAAACCTACATGACTACATACTGGCATAGTACCCAGCAGCTGTTCTATGTAAATACGACGACTGCTCCTGCTCCTGCTACTCTGCTTCTGCTGCTGCTACTGCTACTGTTAATGCTACTGCTGCTACCGCTGCTGCTGCTGCTGCTGCGACCGCTACTACCTCTACTACCGCCACTACTTCGCCGACCGCGACGACTGCAACGATTGCTACTACTGCTACTACTGCGACTACTGCTACTGCTTCTTCTATTGCTACTACCAATACCACTGCCACTACCAGTACCACCACGACTACTACTTCCTACTACGGCTACTACTCTGGTACCCGACACCCTTAAACCCCGGACATAGGTACTGAGGAATCGTTGGGAGGGGATTAGGGTCTAGGCCCAGGGCGCTAGGAGAGTGGGTTTCAGGTTGCCGAGTAGCTGCGTATAGCTTCAGGGCTTTAAAGCCGTTGATGCTTACCTTTGCGTACAACCCATTCATATTTGGAAGGGTGGGGACCTCTTTTCCTTCTGCATGTTCTGCGTCTAGAACTCCTGATTAGGAGGAGGTATTGGAACTGAACCTCGAGGCATCGGAGCTTCACCACTACTTAACAGCAGTAAAAGCCAGAAAGTTGGAATATGATTATCCTAAACCCTGTATGGTAAATTATAAGGTATCCTACCCTGAAACCATATTCCAACTTTCTGGAGTTCCCCCTATAGGGTAATGTAGGAACCTGAGTAAGAAACCCTGTGCCTATAACCCCAAAGTCGCCAGACATGTCTGCTTTGCAGCGACGACGATGCAGTGCGTCTGACGCCATAAAACGGTGTAAGCCACGCAGCCAGCCTAAGCACTGACTCTAACCCTTAAGCCCTATGAGCACCCTCCCCCCCCCTCCCCCAACCCTCCCCGCAAGTAGCCTTTCAACGGATTTGATATCCCTCATGAAAGGGGGAACTCAGGGCTAGAACTAAGTTGGGGGGGTGGCTAGGTAGACCTAACCTAAACCCGAACATCTCATGAAGTGGAAGATACTATTGGAGCCTGATTAAAAAACCTTGGGTCTTTATTCAGTTCTTTGTATGGGTCCCAATATTTTGGGGTATAGGACCAAATTTTTTGATCAGGTTCCTACATTACTTACGGGCTCGTGGGACTTAGTAAGTACAAGGTTATGTTATAACCCCTGTGGGACTTATAAATACAGTTATAACCTACCTACTAAGTCCCATGATCCTCTAAGTACTCATGCATGATCTGAAGATATCGCCCCTTCAGGGCTCTCAGGCAACATGTGAGCGTAGTGATGTAGGATTTTAGGGGTCAGGGCTTGTGCGTTGTGGGCTGAGGGTTGTGCCGTTTTGGGGTTTTAAAGCTTCCTAGGATGCCCAATAGCCAGGAAGAACAGGACTCCCTTTTTGGTATTTTGTAACTTTATAAGGAACCTAAGACTCCAAAAGAGAATAAGGGTACTACTGGACATCCTAGCTTCTACTTGGGTTGAAAGATTTCACGGGCTAGTTTCGAGCCTAAGCCGCCTTAAACCCAAAACCTAAGGCCCTCCTCAGCCCTAGACTCCCAAACCCGAAATCCTAAACCCCTACCGAGACCTACTAAACCCTACTTTTTTTTTGTAGGTTCTTAGTATGAACCCTAATATGGGATTTATAGGGGCCCTACCAAAAAAGTAGGTTCTGGTAGGTTAAGGTACGCCGCCTTAAGCCCAAAACCTCAAAATCCTAAACCCCAGTTCCAACATACCAAGGCCAGGGCATGCAAGGGCGACATCTCCTTAGCAGCTCTGGCAGTCTGGTGCTATGGAGGTCTGAATACCTTTTTGGGTTGTGGGTTTAGGGTTGAAGGTTTAGCGTTGAAGGGTTTCGGGTATTTATACTCCGTAATTTAACATTATTCGTTACTTGGGCTGTCTGGATTTTCAGCCCCTGGCAACCCCTTGACGATTCGGATTCTACTATAAATATCATCCCTCCCCTCCTCGCTCTTCTGATACGAGAGTATCGCCCGCCCCACCTCCGCCTTTTCCAATTCACGCACCAGAGATCCCAAAACCCCTGTGTTCAGGAACATGTAACATGGCTTCAAATACGATGTGCAAAGATGATTTGATCATATATATTTAGGCTATACTCCTCAAAGGAGGCATAGTGGGCTGTCTTGGCCAAACTGAAAACTCAGGATATCTAGTACCCACTGATAAGAGACTTCCAAACCTACAAGACAAGAGCTTAAAACCTGTCCCCTGAGTCTAGGTCTAGAAGTCTTGACGAGGTACCTCAACCCTATACCGAAAGAATGCGCTGAGACTGCGACCTTACCGCTAAAGCCAGAACCCCAAGATTGACACTAAAACCCAAATTGTCCCAAAACCGTGAACTCTAAACTAAGCCCTAAACGCTGCAGGGTAGACAGAGACTGCGAAATCATCCCCTGACTGGGTCCGCTTGAAGGAACTAGGTTCCCGGCGAACCCTTCAACATTCCAGTTTACCAAGGACACCCCAACATGAAATGGGTTAAAGGGCACTACTGGGGCCCCTAGAAAAGAACCTGAACCCATAAACCATGAGTGCCTCTAAGGGTTCTCTAAAGGGACTACTAAGAAGGCCGTACTATAGGGGCCTTAGATAATCCTAAGAATAGCTTTGGAGCGCTATAACTGACAATAGTATACTGAGGAACTTGGCGGAACACCCTGCCCCCTAAACCCTTTCGAGCGCATAATATGGGAGCCTCAATAGTTAGAATAGGGTGTTGGGGGTATATGATACTATACAACTACCATTAAGGAACCCCCAAAACAGTATAGGTAGTTGTTAAGGCCCCTATAATCGTCCCGATTCCCCGCAGGCTTCGGCGGCCAAGCGTCCCTTGCACTCCCATAATGTGCAGAGCCTGGCTTGGGCGTCACAAAGGGGGGTACTTAAAGGCTCATGGGACTTAGTAAGTAAGGTTCTAAGTAGGTTATAGTTAGGATAACCCCACTTAGGGGACTTATAACCCTAACCGTAACCTACTTACTAAGTCCCATGATCCTCCAAGTAGGGCTCAGGGGGTTTAGGGTTTAGGGTTTCGGGCTTGGGGTTTCGGCTTTAGGGTTTAGGGATTCAGGGGTTTTGGGTTTTGGGGGTTTAGGGCCGGGACACGAATACTCCGATATCTCCTCCTTGAGCAATATTCCTTCAGTTACAGTAGGAGTTCTTGATAGCGAGCCTTTGGCCAAGGAGATCTATGGCAGTTCGTACAGTTTAGATGGCTCAGGGTCCCAGTCCCAGCACGTTTTTGCTGACGCATGAACTAGGTGTCAATTTCAACAGTCCACTCAGTTCTTCATAAACATTTGGGCGCTATTTTAGACAACAAAGGCAACTAAAAACCACCCCACATCGATAGCTACGCTTGATGATATAAATCCTGCATTACCCATACTACGGAATATGCCATTATTCCCGTAGTTTAGGGTCCTCAAGGTAATGCAGGATTTATATTCTCAACCGTAGTGAAAGCGTGCACTCTTAAAGCCATGATGGCCCCAACTATTCGCAAGGGACCTGACCCGGTTTAGGGGTTTCGGGGTTTAGGGTTTAGGAGTTTCGGGGTTTAGGGTTTATGTAGGGGTTTCGGGGTTTAAGGGTTTCGGGGTTTTGGGCTTGAGGCTGTAACGTTGACGAGGCCGGTGAAGATGCGAGACCTGGCACTGGGGGACGCACGAGCAATGCCATTTTGTCCAGTACCCAGGCGTGGTAGGGAAAGGACCGCACTCCCACGGGGCCACGGTCTTGAACAGAGCGGGGAAGCCGCACTGGCGCTGCATGTCTAGCAGCACCTGTTGCCGCGTCTGCCAGTACAGCGACGTGAACGACTCGCGCCGGAACGCCACATGTTACGCTAATCAGGTATGGCATGCACGCTGTGCAGGTCTGGACGTTAAGGGATGGTTTGTGTGCGAAGGGCTCTGGAAGCATCACGCAAGTCCGACTGCACTTAAAAGAGGCCGCTGAGCCGGCTACACTATAAGCAGCGACCCGTCCTTGCTTCTGGGGATGGCAAGTCATAAGCAACTTCGAGTTTCGCGGGGTGCTTGACATGTCGGGTTTCGGGGTATTAAGATGTTTGCAGTCTGCAGGCAGTCCGAGCAAGGGAGGGTTTACGAATTCGCAGGTCGACGACTCTACAGTGCACGGCGTCAGGGCCTTAAAGGGGTTTACAGGTCAAACTGCGGAAGATCGCTGCTAATATGCCTAGCTCGGAGAGTTTTCCTTAGTTGCTGAGTTCATAAGCCCCCCAAAGTGTACACTTTTAGTTTTATAGTGGGTAATATTATCCCAAAAGTGTAAAGTGTATCCACTCAGCTACTAAGTTCCGTAAGTCGATGAAACATGCTGGCAATTCGAAGGGGGAAGCGAGCACTAGTTCCCGACCACACGTCGGCCATGCTGTTTGACATAAAATCACCACTAGACCTAAGAGTAACCTAGGAATAAAAAGGGTTTAGGTGGATATAAGTTAAGCTAAACCCTAAAAAATAGGATTCAGGGCCTACTCTGGGTCCTAGACCAATACTATTCCTTGGGGCTGCTGATTATCATCGTAGTAGTCTTTGCCCCCCAAAAAAATCCACAATAAAGCTCAGTTGTTGAATACCGCAGAGCTCTCACCGTGATACTCACAGATCAGAGTAGATAAAATACTGGCCACAATTCGCGCTTACAACAGGTTTCAGGGGTTTTATACGGTTCTATAAAGGGGATTTAATGCAGGGTCCACTGAATAGGGTTTCGTTGTTGTAAAGTCACTGTAGGTGAATAGGGACGCCGGTTCTTCGGACCCATCCATTCAGCAGAGTACAGCACGGAAGCGAGCATATGCAAGAAGGGCGAAATCCGTGCAAACCCTGTACTTCAAAGCACCCCAGGGCCCTAAACTCTAATTACCTAGACCCCCACACACCTTATGTCAGGCCTCCTTTTTTGGGATACCTGATGATCCTGTCCCTTGCAGAACCCTCAGGAAAACATACTATGCAACCCGAAAGCAAGTTCTGAACACTTGTGTAGCTCTAAAACCAAACAAGCAACAAAGCCGAAAACACCTCTAACATGCCTGCCAAGACCGACGAACACCGGGAAAACTCAATAACAAAAACACTTACATGCCTGAACTGTGGGCACAAGGCATCGAGACACGTGCACAAACGCATAACAAACCCAAAATCCTCGACCAAAACCTGAAGAATAAAAGCGCATAAATACCAACAAAATCCTGACAAAGCTTATAAGTAAGCCTCTGACCCCAAAACAACACACCCGCGCATACGGACACAACGACACAAGCCGGGCGCAAGCGGCCGACCCGAAGGACATCGGGGCCTGAGCCACCAAAAACAACAACAACACAAAGGCTTAGGATGCAGGGGATTAGAGTTTCGATCCTTTTAGCGGTTTAGGGTTTAGGGTTTCGATCCTTTCAGGGGTTTAGTGTTCAGGGGCTTAGGGGCTTTGAGATTAGCGTTCAAGGCAAATTCTACGGCACGAGGCTGTTTATCGTGGTTCTAAACTAGTTACTAAGTTAGATTAGCGGTGTTTCCCAGAGTTCTACACGTCTTTCAAGATGCTTCTAGGGCTGATTCAAGCAGTGCGGGAGTTTTACTAGGGCCTGAGCCTCAAGGGGGCTCCAGTGTGTAGAAGTAGAAGGGACTGACGAGATGCTTCTGTACGCCTCCATGAGTGGATACTGCCCCCATACAGTAACAGTCTATTAATAGGGCTACTATTAAGGTCCTAATATATCTATACTATGAATATTATCCAACGGTTACTGAGTGGGGGCAGTATCCAATCCATAGGGTTTTAGAAGTGTCTCGAGGATGCTTTTGCAAGGGGTGGTTTTAGGGAAGGCTTGGACATGAGCTTCCAGTTCAGTGTTATCTTCCTGAAAGACCACATGGCCCTTAAAGTAGGGGCCCTATACCCATATACTATGAATCCCTGTATGGTATATGAACCTTAAACCCTTTTGGAGTTCATTTCGTCCTTAAGGTTGTCGGCTCAGGGACGGTATCTTGTGATCCTAGGAAGATGCATTCAACTCTTAGGCCGGGGTTTAGGGCTCAATCATAAAGCACAAAGATAAAGTAGACCCAAGATTAGTTACCATCTCCCTCTCTTTCAGGGCCTGAAAGTCAAATGAGGACCCCCCAGTATCCGCTTAAGCCCTTTTGTTGGGTTGGGGCATCGATTTATTCATCAGTAGTCTACAGTACAGGTTCCGATTCGCTTTCTCAGCATCAGGGCTGATTGGGGGATTTAGAGTTTGAAGAAACATGTGTTTCAGAGAGCTCTAGATTTCAAACGGGCCTGCAGGCTGTCGTGTTGGGCAGATTGGGGTCGTTGACTATCATGAATAACTTGTGTAGGGTGCTGGGGTATAGTATGCACTGATGATATCATAAGGAAGCCGATTGCAGAACTTCGCCAAGTGTGGAAGCCCTTCTATAAGGGGTTGTATAGTCTTGCCAAGGAGGTTGATGCCCTTCCTGCGCTGCGAGGTAGCCAGATGCCCTGAACCCCCACGGACCACGTACATTGTTTCAACAACAAGAATATCTTAGCAGTCATGTTGATATGAAAACAAACGTAACAACAAACAAGAATGAATGCTAACTACTAGTATCTAGCAGTAGTGTAGGAGCATCAAAAACCAAACCAGAGTTCACATAAATAGCCATATGGGAGTTTCCGAAAACAGCGGGCCCTAATAGGGAACCCCCAAAATGAGGTACTCTAATTTTCGGAAATTCCCATATTCTGAGAAAATTAGCGTGGAGGTTTCGGGATTGAGGCCCTTAGACAGGCCGAGGCCCATACAGCGGTGCCGGCTGACGCCAGCCGCAAACAATCGCCCACACTCAGCTGCCTCAGGAGACCCAGATCTAGGAGTAGTGGCTCTATGCTCTACTCCCTACAGTTTGAAGGAAGACGGTCAAGTCTGTATCTTAAATCTCCTACAACTTTAGTACAATGCTTTAGAAGCTGCCCCCGCCCTGTAATCGCGACTATAAGGATTATAGTAGGGCCCTATTATATTCCTATCATACCACTATTACAGGGTGGGGGTCCCTTCTAAACAATACTACAGCTTTTGTCTAGCGGGTGTGTGCTCATGGGCCGGCTCTCACACCGAAGCCCTGAAACACTGAAGTACATGTAAATCTAAGGTACTGTCCCCATACAGTAACAGTCTATAATAGGGCTACTATTAAGGTCCTAGTATATCTGTATTATGAATATCACTCAACTATTACTGAGTGGGGGCCGTACCCAATGTAAATCCTACACTCCTGCAGCCACAAACCCCGGAAGCCTAAAACTCCTGAGCCCTTAATCCCCTGACCTCAACCCTCAGCCTTGAACCCTAAAGGGAACTCCAGAAAGTTGGAATATGGAATAATGGCAGGATCCCCTATAATTTACCTTAAAGGGGTTACGATAATGATATTCCAACTTTCTGGCTTCTACTGTAAACCCTGATCCACACTCCTTCCACCCCACAAAACTTGGGATCTCGGTCTTTAGAGGGTTTTGGGCCGCGCCCTAAACCCTTCGAAACCAAGGGACGTTGAAAGGCACCCTGCTAGAGGGGCCTTGATAATTGGAATGGGATTTTGGGTGATAGTGTTCTGTGTACCCCTAAACCCAAAACCCAATAAACCCTATACGTAAACCCTGAACCCAGTATAAGCACAAGGAGCCTAGGGGAGTAGCTTTCGAAACCATCTAGTAAGAATGCTAACCCTGAGGCTCAAACAGCCCAAAAGCATCGAAAATGATTGGTGTGGTCTTTGGGCCCAACAGTCTCTATGTAATATATGTATCCTTCGAGCCCTAGGCTAAGTCAAACCGAGTTGCTTCGAGTAGCTGTTCAAGGCAGCTGCGCCTTCCTCACCTGACAAAGGCGGGATCGATGGCGCGTTTGTTGCAAACACCCCGGTTTCGGATGTAGGGCTCACGGTTTATCTTCCCTTTGGTTAGTAGGGAATGGAGGACTGGGGTAAAATTATAACTACTATTACTACCATTCTTCCATTCCCTACTAACCAAACGTAAGTTATAGGGAAAGGGCCATTCCCACCCTATACCCTGAACCCCGTTTGGGATTTAAGGTTCAGGGCTTAGGGCACCTGCACCCCCGCATCCCTCAGCTTCTTCTTTGCAGGGCTTGGGGCAGAGAGCCCAAGGTCTGGTCAAGATTATGCCAGGAAGGGGACATAAGAAACCCAAATCCCCAATTCTGAGCTGCTGAGCCCCTGCTTGACTTGTCTTAATCTCTAGTTCTAATAGCTAGCCCAAAACTAAACCCTACACCTCGAACCTCCACCTTGCACTAAGCCATTCAGCCCTCATCCATTAAAAGCTCTGAAGCCACGAAGCTGATACGAAGCCCCATAATATACCGGCTTTTAATAATTAGAATAGGGTTCCTTAGAAGGTCGTCAAGCGATCTATAGTAGGGCTCTCTGATATAGGGGCCCGTCTCATTTTTAGAATTGGGTTTTGGGGCATCTTAAAATTAAACTATAATTGTAATGACGAACCTACGCCAAAAGAACTTGGCAGGGGGGGTCTGTATGTACGTACGTACCTCGGGGTTCCTTATGGAAGCTCCATAGAACCCTGTAGAATCACAAAAGCTCCCAAGCCCGAAATATCGTAACAAAGGCCTGCAAGAAACAATCTTGGCAGGAAGCACCCGAGACCGAAAAGCGGGTCCAGGGTTCAGGGCTTGGGGTTTGACTTGTAAACAGGATCCTACTATTTAGGGTACCATGTTCGGGCCACCCCCATTTTCGGACGCGCCCATAAAGGCAAACCTCAAAAGGAGCAGCTAGAAGGGTGCAAGAGTACATCTGATTCTAAACACTGTTTGCTGCCATCCTCTTTCTTGGAAAGGCTTGAGGGTTTTTACGCTTAGGGTTCATGCCTGAACAGCGCCCTAAGCCTTACCTGCCTAACAGGAGTCGAGAACCCCGAGACAAGATTTTTATGGAGCTGAGCTAAGATTGCGGGCTCAGGATAGTGCCAAACCCTAAACCCTAAACCCTACCATCTGTGCTAAAAAACATGAGAGCAACGTGGCTTTGGCTGCTTCCGTAGCCCCAAGCTCGAAAACGAAAGCCGGTCTCATCTGGGCTCTTGTCACGGGGTTTTGGTCTTAAGTTACCTTCCCTAGGGATCTAAGGACTCATATATTAAGGCTTTTGGGCCCAAAGACCATACTATATAAGGCTTTTGGGCTATGTTGATCCCTACTTGTAGGGCTTGATAGGGGCAACCCCGTATTTCTTCTAGTATGGTGTATACAAAGTTGCTTAAGAAAGCCTGTGATCTCCTCTAACCCAAAAAACCCTCCAAAGCCCTTATCAGAGACTCCAATATCCCTTAATTAAGGAATATACCTTAAATTATAGTAGGATCCCTAACATGATTTAAGGAATATTCCTTAATTAAGGGATATTGGAGTCCCTGGGTTGCGAAAACATCACAGACAGCGCCTGCCTGTAGAGGGAAGTTCGATCGTACTGGGCCTTGGTTTCTGTTGGTTGCTTTCCGATTGAGGGAGGTGGGAAGGGTCCTGTAGCATTCAGTGTTTGTAAGGGTTTCACAGTGCAAACCAAAATAAAGAACCCAAACCCACGAGACCAAAACTCCTTTTGCATTTTGAACCTAGGATTTTTTATTTATATGAATAGAGGTTTAAAGCTTTTGGGTCTATCTTCACCTCGAACGATGCTCATCATGATAGTCGCAGACCCTTGATTTTGTGCAAGTCCCCCCAACCGTCCTAGAACCCTAAAGCCCTTAACCCGTGAAGCAATAGACCAACAAAGGGTGATGCTCCAGCGGCTTTTCCCTGACATGATGTTGAGTCCCCGTTTGCGTCACCCTACCTGCAGAGCGTGTTCCTTCAGGGCAATGGTTTTCGTGTTTAGATGAAATTGGGGAATCGGTTTAGGGAATTGGCCAGTTTCGGGTGTAGGGTACGCAGATGAGGGTTTCTTGGTTCATTGGCCATCCGCATACTGCAACGTCTACATGGTATCCTGCCATTTTCTGAAAACCCTGAACCTTAACCCTATACCGCTTAAACCCAAGAACCTGTACCCTAAAGCCAAAAAGCCCAAGAACTCCGCCCTCGACCATAGAATCCTCTAAACATTATTATATGCTCGAAGCCCACAACAACCCAAACCGGAACTCCAAAACCCTAAACCCTAAACTCTGAAGCCTAAACCCTAAACCCGGACTCCCTAAACTCTGAAACCCAAACTTGGGTCGCCGGCGACAGGCCGCCGAAGGCCAGCGAAGTCGGCCCGATGATGATCTGGCTGCTGCACTTACCCTAAGGGTCCAGGTAGCCCCATAGCATATACATTGGCCTCAAAGTACGTGTATTGGGACTACTTTAAGGCCAAAGTCTTTACTACGGCTGATGATATAAATCCTGCACTACCTTAAGGACCCTAGACTATGGGAGTTATGGCATATTCCTTATTCTGGGTAATGCAGGATTCATATCATCAACCGTATTTAAATGGTACATGGACCCTGAGGGTTAGGGTTTACGGATTTAGCGGTTGGGGGGGGGGGGGAAAACGGTTTACAGTTTTGGGTTGGGGGTTCAGGTTTTTGGGTTTATGGTTTAGGGTGTAGTTTGAGGTTTGGGGTTTAAGGTCCAGGGTTTTGGAGGGTACAAGGTTTAGGGGTTCAGTGGTTTACGTGGGTTTTAGGGCTTCAGGTTAATAAATAAGGGTCGACCTATACCCCCAAATAACCTACCTTATTGGGGACTTATTTCAAGAAATCATCGTAGGGGGCCCTAAAAAGGTAGGTTCCTTAGGCTATACTGAACTTAGAACCCTAGCAAAAATTATAATTTTAGCTGCTTCTAAGGGATTATAATAACCAAAGATTAAAAACTATTTCTAAGTACCCCTAAAGTAGGGTCCAAGGAGAGCTAGTGCGGTTTCCGGGCCTGAGGGTATGGGTTTCCTGCGCCTACAGCCGTTACGACCACTTAGCCCCCTCCTTAAGGACGAAATGAACCCTAAAAGGGTTTAGGTAGGGTTCATATACCATATAGGGGTTCACAGTAGATGGGTATAGGGCCCCTACTTTTAAGGGTCATTTCGTCCTTCAGGCTCCAGTCGGATGTATCGCGGCGTTGCCAGGCGAAGACTTTGTATGCCATATGGCTTACGTAGTTGGAAGCCTCTTAAGATCATGTGAATTACAATTCCTGGTAGCTTCTAGATTCTTACAACTAGCTATTTATGAATGCAACGCATAATCTCGCAACTTGTAAGCCTGTACCGAACTACAAGCTAGTTTGAATGCAACAGTAAAATCTGCGGGAAATTGGACAACTTTTTGCTAGACATCAAACTGTAAATCCAAAAACGCGGGTACAGCATTCCAAGGAGTATGAAGATACACGTGCAGTGCACCCTTTGCAGGGGTCTGCTCGGCTATAGTTTGGGTTTAGGCTCTGACGGCTGATTAGGGTGTAGGGAATGAAGGTTCGCGGGAAAATCTAGATCATATGTAACGGGAAGGTTTCAAGACCCTTTGCAACTAGACCTAAGAGCAACCTACGAATAGAAAGCGTGATCTTTCTGGTTTAAAGGGACTTATAAGGGAACCTAAACCCCAAAAAAGGGAATGAGGGCCTACTCTGGGTCCCCCGCAAGCACTGTTTCAGGCTGCTGCGCAGCTGTTCCGTACTGAAGTGAGTACAACCCCAAACCTAAAACCAAATGATCTCGAAAGAGAGCCATAAAAATCCTAAACCCTAAACCCAAACAACTCCGGACCCTACTCCCTTAACTGCCAGGCTCCTGCTCCTCTCAGAAAGTCGAGTGGGTCTAGAGATTTCGGGGTTCCGGGGTATAGCAGGGTCGAGACATGCGTCTAAACGCAGGCCAAGCATCTTGTCTCCGTTGACACTGGGATCTAGAAAGATGGCATGAAGCCAGGTTCTGAAGTGACTCTGGTCGTACACGTTCGTTCGCCTGAACGGATACACCACGAGGTCTTCGCCAAGGAATCTCATCCTGTTCTTGACATTGTAGACGAACATCTTGGGGACATCGTTGACACTTCGCGAATCCGGTACTCAGTCAAAAAAATCAATATCAGCGGGTAGTGTAGGCGGAAGTTCCGAAGACTGTTGCTGTGGAACTGTGCTCTGGATTGCGTTCATGTCCGCCACAAGATTGCCAAGGACATCATTTGTTTGACGGAGTTTGGCAAACAATTGAGTCACTGCAGTCAAAATTTCGGCAATCTGCAATTCCATGTCTCTCACTTGGGTGCTCAACACATCAAGCTGGGAGTTGACACTCGCATCAAACAGAGCTTGTCGGCATTGTGACACTGAAGCACCGCCACGCCAGAGCCAGATCAAAGCCTAAATCAACACCTGAACCTAAATCCTACGCTGATCCTGAAACCGAAGATCAGGGTTTAGGGTTTGGGGTTTAGGGTTGAACCCAAAGATCTTGAGGCGATAACCCTGAAATGGTACTTAAAGGCTCATGGGACTTGGTAAGCAAGGTTATAAGTAGGTTATTATCATTAAGATAACCCCACTTAGGGGACTTATAACACCTACTTACTAAGTCCCATAAACCCAAAGATCTTGATGCGATAACCCTGCACTGCACGACAAACTCAAGTCCTGTACAGTTAATCCCAAAGCTTAACGGACCTAAACCCCGAATCGCGAACCTAAGCCACCCAAATAGCCCGACACCTACACGCCAAAAATTGGACCCCATAAATCCCTATAAAAACCTCTAAACCCCATCTGCGAAACCTCTCCCTAAACCGTCCTTAATCGATCCCTTTAAAGGAGCCCTTAAAGTTTACCCTAAAGATTCTTAAACCCGTAAACCCCTAAACCTTCAAACGAAATCCCCTTACCCAAACATTGACCTCGACATCCGGCTGCATCTCGAGGCTGTCTGTATCCGAGTCCTATCGAGGAAGTCGGGTTTAAGTGAAGCGACGGTGTGCTGCCCAGCCACCGGGGCTTTGGGTTTGAGGGGTTTAGGGGTTTCGGGTTTAGGGGTTTAGGGATTTGGAGTTTAGTGGTTTAGGGTTTAGGGTTTCGGGTTTGGGTCAAGGCAAGTTATCGGCAGGGTCTCTTGAGCGGCACCGGGGCACCAGCCGAAACTGGGCCAGTTTCGGCTTCAATAAGGTAATTCTTGTAACAAAAGCCCCAAACCCTAAGCTCTGATCCCCTAAACTCTAAACCCTAAACCCCAAACCCTAAGCTCTGACCCCTGGACCCTCAAGCACTGAAACTTTGAAACTGACGCCCTACTTCTAACACCCAAGACTATGTTTCCCACAGTCGCCTGCATCATCAGGCAACCATATCTCAAATTTTTCTTACAGAAGTAAACAAAGCACACATAATGGCAAGGAGGGGAGGGCGAGAAAAGCAAAGAAGCTTGAAGCCGCAGCAACTGTTCAGTACAGGTTTATTGTGTAGGTGTATACAACAGGGTTAGGGAATTATGGTTGAAGTGGTTTTGGCATTGAGATGTTTCTTTTTTCAGGTGGGCGGGGGGGGTGGAGGGGGGGCGCGGCGTTGTTTTGGGGCTCTGCAGGTCACGTCAGAATTGGGATACACAGGTTCAGTACAGGAAATACAGCCCAGCGCCTGAGCACATCTACAAAAGCTCGGCAGCTAAACCACGAACCCTAAAGCTGGAAACCCTACAACCCAACCTCCCACAGATAATAGTCTCCTAGTGTGGCGGCTGGGTACAGGAGGCTTGAACCATCAGGGTAGGGGGGGGGGGGGCATATTCTTCTGCAGCCAAAGACGGAGTTGAATTTATGGGACAATCTCAACATCTATCATTTGGTATAATGGGAATAGCATGGGGCCCTAATATAATCCTTATAGTCACTATTACAGGGTGGGGCCCCCTTCCAATCTATCATTCTGACCCTAGACTGATCTCTTACGGCGCGTCCTTAATGCTCACGCCAATGCCGTTACGAAATCCCATAGCAGCAGTGGCTGAACCAGCGGGAAGCATCGCATACACTGCACTGCCAACTCCACGACTGTCCTCCAACGAAAAAGATGATCTCTGTAAAGTCCGCTCTCCTAAAAGCCTCAACGCCATCGAGTTCAAACCGAGGGCAGCGAACGGTTTGTAGCCGCTATTGATAACACATGACATCAGGCTTATAACCATGCTGATCACTCCACGAGAAAGGTAACTCCTTCGGAGTAGTTCTCTCGCGCCCTTTTCCGCCTCCTTTCATTCCGCAAGCCTATCACAAAAACCTCGCAGTCTCTGGACAACCAGAGACCGACGTCTACTTAGAGGATCATGGGACTTAGTAAGTAGGTTATAACTGGGGTTATAAGTCCCCTAAGTGGGGTGATCCTAATTATAGCCTACTTATAACCCTAATAACTAAGTCCCATGAGCCTTTCAGTAAGGATACGCAACGCAGGAATCGGTAGTGTGCTGCTGAAGCAGCCGATGCTTCACCGATGGAAAACGGTCCTGGAAGCCAGGAACCGAAGTCCAAGGATGTAGAAAGCCAAAGCAACCCCACTGGGGGCGAGGGAGTACCGGCGTCAGGTTGGACGGGCGTAAAAACCCTCACCCAACCGGGCCGATGTCCGGACAAACCCTAAAGCCGTTAAAACTTAAAAGCCTAAACCATCCTCCACCCCAAAACCCTGCAACCCCTTCCCTCCCCGACCCGAGAGAAACCCCAAACTCCTAAACGCTTATGAGCCCAACCCTAAACCCTAAACCCTAAAGAGCCTTAAGCCCTGCAAACACTCCCCTCCTCGCACCGAAAGCCCTGAAGCCCCAAAACCCAAACCTCTAAACCCTCAAACCTAAACATCAGGAACCCTAAACAGTCAATCTCATGAACCTAAACTCTGAACCCTCATGAACCCTAATAATCCCTAATCCTGATGAGCCCTAAACCAAAAGCCTCATGAACCCTAAACCCTAAGAAAGGTCGAAACCCTCAATCTGCGGAGTTTCCTAGGAGGCATCCTCTCCTCCGTACGATGCACGCGCAGCCTGCGCGCCTGCAGAAATTAGGACGGTTTAAGTTTTTAGGGTTTACCTATAGTCTCCATTGAAGTTCCTTTTTTGGGGGTTACCTTGTAGGATCCTACACATCAAATGGGTTAAACCAAGAAAAGGAACTACAGTGGAGACTATACGTACGGTTTGCTTACGACTGTAGTTTGGGTTTTAAGGCTAGCGGCTAAGGCTACCCCGATTGTAATTCAAAGGAGTGGGCAGCAATGTTATATTCCTGTGTTGTACTCACAGTATAGTATACCTCCAAGCTCTAGTCTAATCATGGAGGTCCTTACACGACTACAATGAAACAATACGTACATGTCACGGTTCCACAAGCTTACGGTTTTGCCTTGGGCTTGCCGAGACTTCAGGGTATACCTACATCCAAAAGACCCCAAACCCTAAGCCTAAACCCTAGGCTTAAAACCCAATCAAAATCAAGGCTATAACCCCTACCTTTACGGACGAAAACAATCCTAAAAGGGTTTGGGGTTCCTCTACCTTATAGGGATTGATAGTATAATTGCATAGGGCCCCTAGTTTTAAGAGTCATTTGGCCCAAAAGGTATGGCTAATCGCCTAATCGAAAGTCGAAGGCTCCAAAAGACCCAACAACTCGGTACTTGCGAGTTTCAGGTTCCTGGATTAGCATAGAAGTCATGTAGTGCTTCGGCTTTAAGGTTCAGGGTATGTAGGGGTTTAGTGTTTAGGATGGTTAATGGCAAGTTAGGCTTGTATTTGACATCCCTAAACCCTAAACCCTAAACCCTATTGGCATCCTGGACCCCCTAGGGTCAAGTCTCGGGGTTGTACCGCGCGAGAGCCAGAGGAATTTTTCGCTGTGGGATGTTGCGTCCAACTCTTGAAGGCGCATCACCCAAAGGGTCCTACTTAAAGGCTCATGGGACTTAGTAAGTAGGGTTTAAAGTAGGTTATAGCTAAGTCCCATGATCCCCTAAGTAGGTCCTAGGCACTCATAGGGATCCTTAGGGCGGTAGGGGGGAGGGGGGTAGGGGGACCATATTTCTGTAAATAGGCCTTATTAGGATTACTATGGGCATTGAGGCCCCCTACCCTTCCTCCCCCTAATCCCCTAAGGATCCCTGTCAGGTACTGCTATGGGGAATACTTCCCCAAATCATAAACCCTAAACCCTAAACCCTAAACCCATCATAATAGTTAGTAATACAAAGACCCTTAATTCGAGTAAAGGTCCGAGGGGATCAGGCTCGTCCAACTGTTGGTCAGGATCAGTTTAGGGTTTAGGGGTTTAGGGGTTTAGGGGTTTAGGGTTTAGGGTTTAGGGTTTAGGGTTTAGGGGTCTCCAGCTGCAGGATATTCTTCAGGAAGCCTTCGCCGAAGGCGCGGTCAAGGGTGTTAGTAAAGGCAAACTTGGCGTCGGCACATGGCTCACCGGCATGCCCGGCACCACTGGGCGGAGCGGCGGGAGTCTCCTCTCGTCCCTGGAGTGTGGGTGACACGGCAAAACTCGGGAAATTTTGCGGCTCGGTGCCCCGCACTTGTCCGGATGGGTCCGGATAGTTTGCTGCTGAAAGTGTCTTTTCACTTGTGCATGCAGGTCCGCCATGGCGTCATGCGGCGGCTGCATGCCAAGCGCACAGAATAGGCAAGCCATGTCTCCATGCACGGCAGAACCAACGACTACCTGCCAGCTGATGTTAATACTGCCAAGTGTTCCTGCATGTTGCGCACACACCTTAACTATTGAAAAGCGGACAACGTGAGTGCGCTGTACACACAACATCAATTTTTGAAACCCCAAAATGACCACCTCTAATCCCGGGACACTAAAGCCCTTCATGACAACATCTATGTACACCCACACCCTAAACCCAAGCCTCTACAAGCAAATACCTGGTTCTAGGTACTTCCCAAACAACCCCCCCACATTAACACACAAACGACGAGTCATAATCACTCTTACTATGTAGTTCACAGTGTTGGATAACAGTGGCGCATTATACTTCATGGTGCAATCTAGAACAACAGCATAACCTTATCAATCTAGCCCAAGCGCCGTTGTTCTGCACAAGCTCAAACCCTAAACCCGAAACCCTGACTCCCTTCAACCCTCAACCGCAAGACACGCACCCACTCTTAACAGCGATGTTCGCACATTCGACCCAAGTCCATGAGGGCTAGACCTAGTTGAGGGGTAAGGTGGGGCATCTTCCTCGGGCTTGTATACTCCTCGAAAACCTGCCATGCATGAACCCTAGACCATACCCTAACCTACAAGAAGCTACCCCTTCAATCCGATAAGATATAGTAGTTAGTTAATTCCCAAAGGGTCCAAAATACCTAGTTTCTATGTTAGGATTTAGGGTTTAGGGTTTAGGGTCCAAAATACCTAGTTTCTATGTTAGGAATTACTACTATGAATTCCGGGAAGTATTCCCCATAACAGTACACCTATAGTTCCCTTACAGGAACTTACAGGAACCAAATAAATCCCTTGAAGGTACCCTCAAGGAACCCGTAACAGTACCGAAGCCGGGGCCTGACCCGCTGGTGGGCTCGACGCCTGCACGCAGGCGGAATGTCGGGCTTCGAAGATGCAGCGGCATGAATGTTGAATGCTTTGTACCTTAAGGACGAAAAGAACCCTAAAAGGGTTTAGGGTTCCTCTACCTTATAGGGATTCAAAGTATAATTGTATAGAGCGCCTACTTTTAAGATCTTTCAAGAGTGATTTGGTCCTTAAGGGTTGCATGCTTTGTAGGGTTTCCCAGAGAGCCCAATACCCCTTAATTAAGGAATATGCCTTAAACTATAAGGGGCCTTATTTAAGCCATGTTCCTCAATTAAGGGGTAGTGGGCTGTCTGGGTTAGGGTTTGCAGAGGTATTGGGGTTTCAAGGTATAGCGTTTGGGGCTTTAGGGTGTTGGAGCTTTGGGATAGAATTTACTGTATAGGATGTTGGCGCTGTTAGGGCTGGGACGGGAGTATCCGATTCGTTACGCTTAGGGTTTAGGGTGTAGGGGAATAAGGAGACCCAGCGCAAAAAGGGGACAGGTGTGCTACGAAGGTACTATTGCGGACCTACCAAGGTTCCTCCGATTTTCCATTGCTCCTCACCATGACCGCCCTTTCTCTTTTTCAGGGGCTGTTCGGAGCCCCAAAAAGATTAACCCTCGAGCCCTGGTTGGTTTTATATGCCGGATTATACACGAAAAGGTCGCAAGTTATCTACTCAGCACCTGAGGTATCTCAGCAGGGAAGCTGGGCGTATTGCAGGAGCCAATGTTAAATGCTGTCAGTCTCTTATAGCAGTCACTTCTTCCGAACACACGCACATCCAACCCGATACACCTCGATGTCATGTTCACGTCCACACAAAATACCTCGAATGCACGAAGTAGGTTTTTAAGGCCCCTAAACTCTAAACCCCCTCAACCCTAAACCCTGAAGCCTAAACCCTCGTAAACCCTAAACCCTGGGATCTAGTCTAAACCGGACCATCAAGTTATCCAGTGGAGTGGCCTCAAATGGGTACTTCGGTGATCTTTGTGGAATGAATGACCCGAGACTTCAAGCCTCAACCCTAACTTAGGCTTAGACGCATGGGAACAACGTGACCCATTATCCTCAAAGCCCCTTACAACTATAATGAAGGTAGTATGTTTGACAAACCCCTGGGTTGAAACCATCAAGAAATGTGAAACAGGATTTCTATCGCGTACCTCGCCTAAGCAAGCCCGAGACCCTAAACCCTGACGGCACCCTTAAAAAGAAGTTATATGGGTAGTTGTCACAATTGAGGTTTGTTTTGGGGGGTATCCTAACTAAGAGGTCCCGGATTACAATAGGGACCCCCAAAGGGACCTTAATTTTGACAACCACCCGTATGACAAGACTCTGCAAGCCCCGCTTGAATTCCGCATGCAACCAGATGCCTGGGCCCTGCCAAGACAAGAATTCTCATGTCAGGGTGTACAGCCCGTCAAGCCTTGTGAGGGAGGCATTACAACTTTTATGGATCCCGGTTTAAGTTTAAGGGTTCTATCAGGGCTGTGTGAGGGGCTGCATAATTTATGGTTCAGAGTTTGGGGCTTGCGGTTTAAGAGTGTAGGCTAACACTCAGCCCCGAAACACCTGAACGCACAGCCGCAAAAAAAGTATATATGTAGATCACCTTTTCGAATCTCTCGCCGTACTGTAGCCTCGTAGGAACCCCTTAAGGAATCCGCAGAATCCTCATAGATCCCTTGTGAACTTCTTGCTGTAGCTTCATAGTAACCCTAAAATCAAGAGAACCCATAACTCAAGGGTTGAAACCCTGGGCCTAGTATGGGCCCTTAACCTTGGGATCCCTAAATACCTACTATATACCCCAAATGGACTCTCAAGGGTTCCTAGAGCTCCCTCAAAAAGGCCTAAGGGTCCATGTCAGCGGCGCATCCTAAACCCTAAACCCTAAACCGTAGATTAACCCTGGCCGGCCAGCGCCTGACTATCCTTCGTGCTTGGATGACGACTTCGTCGCCGCCGAGCCTGTCAGCACTCGGGGTCCAGAACCCCAAGGCTCCATGTATGTATGTAGTATAGGGGCCTGAATAATTATAATAGGGTTTTGGGGTAGATTATACTATATCTATAATAAGGGCGCCCCCCCACCTGAAAAACAACAAAAGTATTGTAACTCACTCAGGCCCCAATAGTGTATAGTCTGCATTTCGGCCTGAACATGGTTCCTGTGTAGGTACTTGTTAAGGCCTAGATACGTGCTATATTATAGGTACATGGAGCCTTCTGGTAAAGACTGCATCATAAGTTCTGTAAAAGCATTCTGTAACGTCTGCAAAAGTCTGCATAAAGAGGCCTCTATGAAGGCCTGCAAAATTGTCCATAAGGGTCTAGAAACTTGGGGTTACTGTAGCTAAGGCCCTCAGCCCCCACTCAATCCCAAACCCTGGGAGGGCACCCATGTTTCGCTAAAGCTTCCTGGCTCTATACAGGGGTCGTGACATCCCAATAGTCGGAGGCTTCTAATCACGGCTCTACATTAATGAACCCTAAACCCTAAACCCTAAACCCCTAAACCCTAAACCCTAAACCCCTAAACCCTAAACCCTAAACCCTAAACCCTAAACCCTAAACCCCTAAACCCCTAAACCCCTAAACCCTAAACCCTAAACCCTAAACCCTAAACCCCTAAACCCCTAAACCCTAAAAGGGCTTCAGGGCGCAGGGCACATCAGTGTCGCAGCAGGGACCTGCAAAGGAACAGTTCAGAGAACTTTTGAAGCTAGGATACCCAGTAACCTAAGAATAAAAAGGCCACTCTTTTTGGTACTGGGTAACCTTATAAGGAACCTAGGACTACAAAAAGGGAATAAGGGTACTACTGGGCATCCTAGGAAGTTACGGACTTCGATTACCAAACCTTCAAGCCAGAACTTTGAACCTTAGCGCAGAATGCATTGAAACAAAAAGATTGAACTAGAAAACACCAAAGACTCTAGGACGACCACTAGAAGCCACTCAGAAACCTCGTTCACTCTGAACCCTAAAGCTTGAAACCTCAAACCCTGGAGTAGGAAAGCTCTGAAGCTCTAAATCCGAAATCAGGAACGCTACATTAAGCTACGGAAACCGGCTTGCTTGTAGGGTCCCTGTAACATTGGGGCTTATCGTAAGAACCGAAAAACAGGGTTATGGCAGTTTAAGTGAACCCTTAACCTTAACTTTGAAGACGCCCTACTGGAACCCGCCTAAAGCCTACGCTCACGGAATGCTTACAAACAAGTTACTGCCACGCTTGGCCTCTTCGGGCGGAGCAAAAATGGCACGTGCTGTTTTCCTGGGGCTCACCTGAACGGTTTGGGGTTTCAGGGTTTCAGGCTTAAGATGTGGGATAAGAAGTTTAGGGTCTAAGGTTAGGACTTGGGGTTTAGGGTTTGGGGGTTTAGGGCTTTATGCAGACCAGCAAGCGGGGCTTTTCCTTGGAGGACCTTCAAACAACTTGCTCCCTGTGAAGATTACCATAAGCTGCCAAAACCTACTTTTCTTGGAGGGCCCCTATAGATTCTATGCTACGGTTCATGATCAGAACCTACAAGAATTATTTTATGGAATTTAAAGTATGCTGTACGAACTTATCTTACATGTTTTGAGCATGAACCCCAGACTCAAACCCTGAACCACAAGCCCAGCGAGTATGGGGTTTGCATAAGTGGGCACAGCAACCCCTTGTAGCCGCGATGGAGATGTATTGCCAATAATGTTCAATAATGGGCCATAAACCTAATTATTCTCGCGGCTACGCGCCCTCTCCAACGTCATGTCTCGAGTGCTTGCATGGGAATTTATTTGCAAAAATCATGGCCGCAGGCTCAGAGGGCTAAAGCGTTCAAGGCTGAAGGGTTCCCAACAATCCTCAGCCCTGGACCTAGAAAGCCCGAGCCCCCTCAGGCCTACAGCCATTCGTAGAGACACCTTCTAAAGCTACTTACAAGATTCTAAGCCCCTTAAAAAGCTCCATCCCCCTGAACCTCAAAGCCCTTTTGTAAAGACGTCTTTTAAGAATCCCCTGAACTATAGTGTTCGGGACCCTTCGCAGAGCCCTTTCTAGAGACCCTCTAAAGAGCTCCTTCTTACGGCATGACAGGGACAACTTATAGAAATCCTCATCGTCTTCCAGCGCCCCGTATCCCTAAACCCTAAGCGCTTTATAGGAGGCCTCTCTAGAATTGAGTCTTAGACCCGGTTTAGTATCCTAGACCTAAACGCTGAACCCCTTAACCCTGAACTAGACCCCCCCCCCTTATAACAACCGAACCTCCGACTTCGCCTTCGACTTCCGTCGCTCTGGACCTGCTGCTTAGGATCCTAGGTCTGTGTCTGCAGAAAAATCATGGGTCCATATATAATAACGGGCCCGAAAACCCTATTCTAATCATGAAGGCCCTATGGTACCCTGACAGTCAAAAGCCTTTCAATCATCCCCAAGAGTGGCTGCTGCCACAAGAGGGTTTGGGGCTCGGAGTTTAAGGTTTGGGGTTTTACGGTCTGGGGTCTAAGGGTTAAGGGTTTAGGGTTTTGGGTTTAGAGTTTGGGGGCGCTTTCAGAAGGCAGTACTGTCTGGTGCTTAGTAGGGAATGGGGGAATGGATCCCTACTATAGTCAGATAGAATACCCAATAATAGTCTCCATAATCCATTCCCCCATTCCCTACTAGGCACCGGACGGTCGACAGTAAACCCCATAAAGTTGGAAACCCGATAAAAGTCAAACAGTGCTGGGATTCCTTTTGCATTACTCTTAAGGATTGAGGCTATTGGGTTTCCAACTTTTGGGCTTCTACTGTCGGGTCGGATACTGCCCCTATACACAAAGAGTCTATAATAGGGCTACTATTAAGGGCCTAATATATCTGTATTAGGAATATTATCCAACGGTTACTGAATGGGGGCAGTATCCAATGCTAGGATACCCAGTAACCTAAGAATAAAAAGGCATCTCTTTTTGGTATTGGGTAACTTTAAAGGAACCTAGGACTACAAGAAAGGAAATAAGGGTACTACTGGGCATCCTTCTGAAGTCATCATGTAGGGGCCTTAATAGGTAGAATAGGGCTTGAGAGGTATATTATGCTATGAGTATAATGAGGAACCCCAAAACCCTAATCCTACATTAGCCTGCTGCCCTTCCAAACCTCCAGCTGTATGAAAGTTTCCGAGAATAGGGGGTACCTCGTTTTGGGGGTCCTTTTAATCAGGATGCTGCTATTTGGGGTGTACCATATTGGGGTCCCCTATGATCGGAAACTCCCGTATCAAGCCAAGACCTGAAACCCATGATGACCCAGAGACGCCCAACCGTAAACCAATAGCCCGATAAATCTGTAACGCACGTACCAACACAGCCCAATACCCCCTAAATTCAGAATATACCTTAAACTATAGGGGGCTAAAACATTCTGGCTTAAGCTATGTTCCATAATTAAGGGGGTACTGGGCTCCCTGTGTAGAACTGAAACCCTATACCCCTGACCAATCCCATCCCAAAGACACGTTGCTGCTTAGACGTCCGAAAACAATAACCCTAAACCCCATACAGGTTGCCATGAACAAGCGTAGTCCGACAAGAACTTCACCTCACTTGGATGCTAAATTCACGAAAGTCCGGTGCATTCTCAAGCAGCCAATTATTCCCTCAGAGAGAAACCGCCCCCCCCCTCTGCGAATCCTGAAACCCTTCACAAACTCCTAAACTGAAGCTTTTGCAGAACCCTGAACCCTAAACCCTCAACCCTAAACCCCTGGACTCCATGTCTAAGACGCCCCAAAACCCTAGGCCAAGAAGCCTAGTAGTCCGAAAGGAATGTAGGAGGGCGTTGGGTCATCCGGCACCTCAGGCGCAGCCACTGATTCGGATCTAGGGGCTTAGGGCCCTTAAAACTTAGAGGATTTATGGACTTAGGGTTCCTTAAAGGGCTCCTTAAAGGGTTTAGGGATCTATAATATAAGGGTTCTATAAGGGGTAGTTTAGGTTACTTAGAGGATCATGGGACTTACTAAGTAGGTCATAATTGGAGTTATAAGTCCTTTAAGTGGGGTTAGCCTAATTATAACCTACTTCTAACCTTACTTACTAAGTCCCATGAGCCTTTAAGTAGACCCTAAACCCTAAACCTTCATTATAGAACCCTAGAGTACCCTTTAAAGGGAACCCTAAGCCCTTACTTACTAAGTCCCATGAGCCTTTAAGTAGAGTTTAGGGTGTTAGGGTTTAGTTAGAGTGGTGGAGTCGGTAGCCCGGAAAGCTTACCTGTTTAGGTGTTACCTTAACTAGGTAGGGTTTAGGGTTTAGGGTTTAGGGTTTAGGGTTTTGGAGTGGGTAGCCCGAAACACCGAGATAGCATTCGAGGGATCCTTATGATGGTTGCTGTATGGAACTTCTAAACAAGTATGCTTTTGTGGTCTCCAGGTAAGCCCTGGGTCGTTGCTCAGGTTGAACGCGTCTCAGGTTTAGGGTTTATTGAGGTTCAGGGTTTGGGGACGTGTACTTTGTGGCCCAAGCTTTTGTCTACCTCGGCCGTGGCTCCCACATACCTACAATCTCCCGTGGTAACCATGTATACCTCAGACCCTATTAGGCCCTATTAAGGGGTTGCGACTTACTGATGATGACGACGATGATGATCATGATGATGAAATTTTTAGTCAGGTTTGGGGTTGCGGCTCAACCCTGCACTACCTTCGAGTACGTCAAGGGGCCCTAATGATCAGAATCGTGTGCAGGGATATATGATACCATAGTTATAGAGGGACTCTCAGATTGTAAGCGACTATCACCATGTCAAACCCCGGTTGCACCCGGTGTTTCTGTCATGCCTACCAGAGTTCGGGCATTTCTCGTACAAAGAAGAACTGAGTCGCATTAGCCGGCTTAGCAGAAGTGTTTCGTTTAGGGTCTGGGTTTATGTGGTCGAGACTAGGGAAAATAAGACTCGGCTGTACGGTTTCACGATCAGTGCTTCAGGGCCGGTTGTTCAGAACGCCCTGAATGCAACGTCCCCTGTATAACTAAACAATTACACAACCCGAAACCCCGAATCAAACCGTTTAGGCGCCCTAGATCATAGCCCATAAACAAGCCAAATGCTACAAAAACCTACTGCAGCCAATAGACCGCCCCGCAATCCTCGTTTGAACAATTCAGGCCCCTGTACCGAACCAAAACACACAACATATTAACAACCTTATCCTACTTGTCAAGTCTCATGGGGAACTAAATGTTAACCTTTTTGGCTACAGAGGTATTATATAGGGACTATACTACCCAAAAAAAGGTTGCCCACTCTACTGCTAGGTTATCGAACCCCCTATAGCACCCTTGAAGGAAGCCTGAAAGCCAATGTGAGAGGTAAGCTGGAATCCAAATTCTATGACACAGCTTCTCCCCAGAGAGAGCTCAATACCCCTGCACTCAGGAAAACAATACAAGACGAAGCCCGTTCTAAGTTGAGGTGTATTGTTCCTTTACTGTTGATGGACAAAATCCTGCATTACCCTTTATAAGGAATATACCATATTTCCCATAGCGTAGGGTCCTCAAGGTCATGCAGGATTTTGTCCATCAGCAGTATTGAAGGGTATTGAGCTCTCTGGGTCTCTCTGAGTCAGCTACAAACCATGCAGAGGAAGAGTTTGACGCAGTCGAGGAACTCGAAGACCAACCTCCAGAAAAAGCTGGAAGAAGTTGGGTTTGAGAGTGCTGTGGTTTAGGGGCTTCAAGCGTTTTTCAGGCAGAACCTACTTGTCCAGTATCCTACGTGAAGTACAGGTTAACCTTCGGCAGTATTCTGGGATTATCTAGGTCCCCAAAAAATGTTAAAGCAATAATAAGCTGCAACCTCATTGGAAGGCGTAAGACGAACTTTGCGAATTCGCGAATTAGGTTCAGAAGTTTGGTCGGAAGCAAACAAGCAACGGACGAGGGGAGACTCAAAAAATGCGAGACGAATGTTGCAGGACTCGGACACCTGGGACCATAAAGGAGGTGTGGGACGTGGGACCCCGAGAAGGTTGCGTCGGGATTTCAATGAAGGAAGAAGAGTCGCGAAACCGTAAGATGACAAGGATCGCAGGTTTTCCGGTGAATATCTACCCAGACCCCCGGGAGGATCCAAACAGTAGATCCCTTAATCAAGGTTCCTATAAAGTACCCTTGGTAGTATAGGGCCCCAAAATGGGGGATCTACTTTAAAGATCCTCCCGGGGGTCTGGGTAAAGAGGCAATTTCCACAGAAATATTCAGGAGATCGATCGAACCACGAAAAAACGGTACCTGCGGAACCCAACAAGGTTAAAGGTTACCTGCTCTACTAAAGTAGTAGGTCCGTAGGTTCTTGCAGAAGCAGGGTGGCATTCAGAACTTGAAGCTTTCAAGCCGAGTCTACAAGCACCCTCAGGGTTGCAGCTTCATCGGACCTTTGGGTCTAACATAGGGGCCTGAACGTCATTACCAGTGCTATTTTGGTGGTTCCATGTGCCCCAAGACCCTATTCTAATGATTAATTATAATTAAGGCCCGTATAATGAGGGACTCAGGAAGACTTAACTTTGAGTTAGTGTGCTTCGGGCTTAGTAACTTCTGGGAGAGCATCAGGCCTGAAAGCAAGGAACGTTGCCTACCCAAAGAGCCCAATACTCCTTGATTAATTAAGGAATATACCGTCAATCATTATAAGGGGCGTCATATTTCGATTGAAGCTCTATTCCGTAAGTGAGGGGTGCTGGGATGTCTGGGCATCCAGATGTTGAAAAGACTCTGCCTAAACCAAACGAAGCCGGCTGGCGGAGGCGCGCTTTAGGGTTACATGGTGTAAAGCTTGAAACCCTACACCTTAAACCCTGAACCATAAACCCTAAACCTTAAACCCTCAACCTTATACCCCAAACAATAGCTCAGGGCAGCCGATGTCCATGGTTGGAGAGGACCACGGCTCGGGGTATGGGATTGAAGCCTGCTGGTCGTCACACTACTTGGAGGGGCAGGGCACTTAGTAAGTAGGTTGTAAGTAGAGTTATAAGTACCCTTAAATGGAGTTACCCCAGTTATAACCCTACTTATAACCTACTTACTAAGTCCCCTGCCCCTCCAAGTAGAATGTCCGGTTGAGGGCACTGGTCGTTTTTCGGCAACGGTGTTGGTGGTGCAGGCGCTCAGTGACTGTGGCCGGGTACGACACATCCGCAATGTGAGAGAAATTACGTAAGTTCACTTGTGTAAACACTATGGATATTCATTGTGGTGCCTGCTAAGTTGCTTGTTCCTGCTGTGGGTATCTTCGTCACCATCGCGACGACCACTACCACCATCAACAACTCCCCCGATTCCACCTCACCGCCAGCAGCCGTAACCTTCACTATCTTTGAACGATCACCAGAAGATTACTAGTCCCACTTAAGGGTATCTTTCGGGGGTTCGCGGCCTTCTCGGTGTGGTAGAGGCTCAGTCTGTGCATGTGAAGGAGCGGATGCTACTGATGGCGGTATGCCTCCCAAAGCGCAAACGGCGTTTGCCAAAGCTACTGGGTTTTGTGGGTCGCTTTAACTAAGCTTCGAGGGTTTTAACGAGTTCCTGGCTCGAGTGGACCTCCGAATCTAAACCCCGTGAGGTTACCAGTAGGAAAGTTTACCTCGGCAAAGACGCGACGGAACACCACAACCCAACAAGGTGAAAGTCAGTTGATTAGACTATGAGCTGTCAGGATTTTGGTTCTAACGCATCACACGAGTTCGATCAATACCTGCATCATTGCTACCAAGAACCAGACGAGATCGTAGTCATCGGCTTCAAGTATACCAATTATTGCCTAGATTGGGGCTGAAGTCGATAAACAGTACCTAGTTACGTAGATGAAGCTGTTTGAAGCCCGGGGGGATAGAGCAGACTCAGTCACATCCGAACTAGCAACAAAATTGTGACCGTAGAAACTGCACACTAATTATGCCAAGGTGTCCTAAACCCGATACCCTCAACTTTTTTGAGCTTCGCGTTTACCAATTAAAACTTTACCGATCTGCCTATTTATCTCACCAGGTGACCTCTCAGAAGGGACCCTAAAGCCCTGCAGTCTAAACCGCCCCAAATCCTAAGGCCTAAACTCCTAAAAAGTATACCCTAAACCCTGGTATTTCTAAACCGTGAACTTTAACCCTTAACCCTACGCAACCCGAAACCGTAACTCTTTAACCCCTATACTCCTAAACCCTATAGACCCTAGTTCCTTAGCTGTAGATCCCTAAAGAAACCCTTCAAACCTTAAACCCTAAACCCCTGAAGAAGCCCTTACATCCCTAAAACCCTGAGCCCAAGGGTGCTTGTGTGATCACCGGAGATCGAGCTGCAGCTCCTCTCGAAAAGCTTTGGCTGTACTTAAAGGCTCATGGGACTTGCTATAAGTAAGGTGGTTTTGGGGTTTGGGGTTCCTTTTACGGGTACTTTATAGGGTTCTATAGGAGGGTCCCCTTTTCAGGGTTTAGGGTCTAGGGTCTAATTCAGGGCCATTGGAATTATTAGTTATAAGTAAGGTTGTAAGTAGGTTATACAGAGGATAACCGCACTTCGGGGACTTTTAATCTCAGTTGTAACCTAGTACATTAGGGCTTCAGGGTTTAGGGGTTCAGGAGGATTAGGGTTTAGGAGGTTTACGGGTTAGGAGGTGTAGGCTTTAGGGGTTCAGGACAGTTTAGGGTTTAGGGTTTATAAGGGTTTGGGAGTTTAGAGATTAGGGGATTGGGGGTTTGCGGGGGGGGGGGGGGGGGGTCTTCTTTTGCAGGATCCTTCCGTCTCAAAGAACTTTACATAACAGTACCTTTGGAGCTCGGTTCAGGGTTTGTTTCTAGGGCGCCTCTCCCGGTCCTGGTGTCGTTGCCGTGGGACCTTCTTGCTTCTTCTGATGTACCAGCATCGAGAGTCTGCAGGAGAGACTCGGGATCTTGTAGTGACCCTAAAAAGCCTCGCCGAACGTCATAGCCGCAGTTGCAGGCTTGTCTGCTGTGGATGCCTGCGTGGGGTCGTGGCACCTCTGGAACTCGACATGCTGCAAGGCACACTCAGTGGAATCCCTTCGAATCGGTTTAGGGTTTAGAGTTTAGGGCCTTAGAAGCAGGTGCACCCAGTCCCGAGACGTTGACTCATGCAGCTGCCACTTCTCCCAGGACATCATTGACCGGCAAAAGCCTCAGGACCCGGGACGCGCAGCTCGTGATGAACTCTCCCGGATCCTCACACAGGACCATCTCAACCACATGCAGAAGCTTGCTATGGGGCGTGGATGTTCGGATCTTGGTGGCGTCCGTCTTCGGCAAGCGCACGCTTGCTCTTCGGAAGACGGCCACTAAAAGGATCAGGCCGCATTTAGATCAGCCGGGTCAGCTGCAGTTAGGGTTGGAGGGCAACCGTCCGATGGCGGCTGGGGGGAATGATTTCAAGACCTGCCCCAGCGCGAGCCGTATGACATGCGACTTAAGCGTAAAAGGCTGCCTTGGATTACCATGACCTACTTTTCTTTGTAGGTCCTCGTTGTAAACCTCAGAATAGAATTACAGGGACCCGACTACAGGTAAGACTATGGAGGTCTATGGTTGGTATGGAGAACTAATACTAAGTTTCGTCCAGTTCCCCAGTACCCTCGTAACGCTAGGGGTGCCCGCTTTGCTGCCATATGGTTGTAATAGTTCCCAAAGGGTCCTAGGTACTGTTATGGGAGACACTTCCCCAAATCAGAATAGTAATTCCTCATATAGAAACCCTACATTCCCCTAAATAGGTACTTTGGACCCTTTGGGATTAACCCGGGAACCCAAACAGAAAAGGGCAAAGAAAACGATTAAAAACAGTACTTCTGGGGGACCTGAATCTTCTTAGTGTGATCTGATGTTAGACCCTAAACCCTAAACACCCTAAACCCTAAAAACCCTAAACCCTAAACACCCTAAACCCTAAAAACCCTAAACCCTAAACACCCTAAACCCTAAAAACCCTAAACCCTAAACACCCTAAACCCTAAAAACCCTAAACCCTAAACACCCTAAACCCTCAAAACCCTAAACGCGAAACCCGAAGTCCTAAACCGAAGAGTCTTGCATGAAAGTTTCAAGCTTCAAGCCCCACCTCCAACCTTAAACTCCAAACCCACGCGCGCTGCCTCAAGCCTACCTTCTATGGAATCAGTAATTCATAACGACGTTTGATGTGGAAGATTGCCCAACCGGCAACTCTAAACTCCCAAGCCCCAAACCCCTAACTAGTCTCCAATTAGCCAGGGAAGTAAAAGGTTAAAAGTTCAGATTACTACTGAAATATATAAACCCAAAAAAGTTTACAGGTTGGGTATTGGAGAACTAAGCTAAACCACGATGCCCAGCAACCTAGGAATAAAAAGGGCTCCCTTTTTGGTATTGGGTAACTTTATAAGGAACCAAACAGGGAATAAGGGTACTACTGGGCATCCTAGAATCCCGAAACCACAAGGCGAACGAACCCACGGCTCCCCGGGCGCGACAGGCTCGATGGCTTCTCAAGGGGGGAAGGAGCCTCCACGCCATGGTTTTGGGGTTTTGGGGTTTAGGGTTTAGGGTTTAGGGTTTAGAGTTTAGGGTTTAAGGGTTTAGGGTTTAGGGTTTAGGGTTTAGGGTTTAAGGGTTTAGGGTTAGGGGTTTAGGGTTTAGGGTTCGTAGAGGACTTCGGGGGTTTCAGGGTTTTGCGGGGGGTTCGTACAGGGCTTCGGGGGGTTGTCGGGTTCAGGGTGATGGTTCTAGGGGTTCGTAACATCGGGGCGCCGACAATTAGACTAGGTTTTGGGGTATATTCTACAACACATTTGATAAGGAGCCCTAAGGAATACTATAGGTAATCATGTACTTAAGCTTCTACACTAAACCCTTAACCCTAAACCCAATGGGGTTTGCATGCTTAGGATAACGGTTGCTACGAGGCTTCTTGAAAGGTTCTATGGGGTTAAGTACTCTCTTCACGGACCGTCGTGCCGGGGATCTATCATTCCTTAGGGTTTAAGGCTTAGGGGTTTAGGGGTTAGGCCGAAGGTCCGGGTTGATCCACTGCTGGTCCACATTATGGCTTTTGTTGATGTGTGTAGTGTGGTGCTACGTGTTTTTCACTTTTACCAGAGGGCCTTGTGTTGAAAAGGGCTGCCGCTTTACGACCGAAGCCTAGAGACCCTTGCGAGACTTAGGACTTAGGCGGACTTTTAGGATTGAGGCTCGAGTTCAGGGTTTTCAAACGGGTCTTTTTGTACGAAGAGGGCCAAGGGAGGGCATGACATCAGGGTCGAGAGGATATGTTTGAGTGCAACAAAGAAAACACCCCTGCTTTTCGGTATGTATATATATATATGTATACATATTCATAACAAATATACATGATATACATATATATATATGTATATATATATATGTATATATATATATATACATAGGGAATAGTACTACGAATTAATCACCGCGGCAACCGCCATGGAACTCCATTCAACTCTATTCCCCTCAGAAAGCATGCAGAAAGGATGCATTCATGGAGTTGCCTGCAACAGAAACCATAAAACCAAACAACACTATCAAGAAAACAAGCAACCCACAATAAAAACAGAGAAACACACGTACCCGAGAGCCTACTATAGGCTTCGCAATCAGGTTACGTACTATTCCATACGTACGAGAAGGTTATCGAATTGGGTCCCACTTCAATCCAACACCGGCACTGGATCCATTTTCCCGCGGTTGACCGTCAGACCAGCTACCACCCAGACTTTGGACCTGTGATCTACGGGTGTTGGAAGGGGTTTCCCCAGGCTGGCTGTCAGGAGACGAGGCTGATGTCCTGAAGTCAGGGCAGGTTTGGGGTATAGCAGGGGTTGGGTACGCTTGAGGGTCTTTTAGGGATCCGGCATGCGTGCACACAGGCGGTTGAGAAAACGCTGAACAATGCCTTTACAATGACTCAAACAGCTCCTTTCGAGATGCTCTTGAAGTTTCAAGCTTCAATGTTTGAGGCTCCAGGTGCTGGGACTCAGGCGGTTCAGGGTTTGATAAGGGCTCAATACCCGAGCTTGAACAGCGTTTAGCCTTCAATCCAGCCTGTGAGGTTTAGGGCTCAAGAATACTGAGGATGCTCAAACCCTAAAACTTCAAACCCTAAACTCTAACACACCTGAAAACTCACAAAATCTCAATAGTATCCTTACCTGTGGCCGAAAAACATCCTTTCTGAGGAGTTTGATCTAGAATCCGGAAGCCTAAATTCCTACGACCAGACAACTGGTCTTTATCCGCCAGAGGTGTAGGAACCCTGCTTGGAAGCCTTCACCCCGGCAGTCCCCCGGGCTATAACCCCCTTAGAACCATAATAACAAAAGTACGTTTAAGAACCATCGTAGAAATAGTATGTTCAAAAATTCTCTTGGGGTTTTATGTGAACAAAAAATAACTCCTGAAAATAGTATGTTTAATATTATCTTGGGTTATGAACAAAAAAGAATTCCTACGGAGACTATATAGCCTATAGCCAATATGTACCCTAAATAGTAGGACCCTTTATGATATGGCCCCCCAGAAAATGTACCCCTAGGTCAATCCTCGACATCGCTCTCGTCGGGTCGCCCCTGCGTGCACAGCTCGAAGACGCGGTAGGCTTTCGTGAAACCTGGCTTGGGGTTTAGGGTTTAGGGTTTTGGGTTTTGGGTTTAGCGTTTAGGGTTTAGGGTTTAGGGGTTTGCATACGCAGGGAGCCCAATACCTTAAGGACGAAAAGAACCCTGAAAGGGTTTAGAAGCCTCTACCTTATAGGGATTCATAGTATACTTGTTTACGGCCCCCTACTTTTAAGAGTCATTTGGTCCTTAAGGCACCTCTTCATTGAAGAATCCATCAGCTGTCCACTTGGAGCCCCAAGTATTCTCAAAGGTAACATGTGGCGGTGCTTCTTGGGTGTTAGTGTCCAGGTCTTAGGGCGACACCCTAGTTTACAGGTTTTACGGGGGGCCTTTGTCACAGATGGGGACTACATCTTAAATCACAATAACAACATCTTTCACAAGTTTTAGAGCAAAAAGAATCCTGAGCAGACATTGGTCTAAGGCTTTGCGGTGCCACGGGTTGGATGGGTGATATGTTCCTACTGCCCTTGCTGTCCCATTGCCATCTTATCGTTGCGCAACTTTGCTGAGATCTGACACCAGAGCTGCTACCTTGTGGCCCTATTCACTGCTGCAGGTCTAGTCTTCCCGTAGCCTGTACCCTTACCATCACTTTTCGTCACGAACATCTGACTAGTACCTCTGGTCACTACTCCGTTCGTGGACCCGGTTGCTCTTCTTTTCCTGAAACAAATTCTTCTCCTCCTGCTCCGCCGCCATCGACGCCGCCTTGCCTCCTGCTGCTTCTGCTCCTGCTGCTCCTTTGCTGCTGCTCCTCTTTCGAGTCATTTGGAGCACTTAGGAACCCTAAATACTCAAGCACCCCAAGCAAAGCAAGCCTGGTCGGTAGAGGTAGGCCACGACGGACAGAACGATCCTGGGAAGAAGCCAGCACGCCCGGGAGCTTTTGCGTCTCGGACGCGGGCGGTTCAGGTCTTCCATGCTTACGCTGCAGGCGTTGGAGTCGCTCATGGTTCAGAGTGTACTTGTACAGCCACACAATCCGGTAACGATGCACAGCTGCACAACATCCTGACTGCTGCTCGTAGCTGTACCCCTACTTGCACAACTCCCCCTATCAGGCTAGGGGTGCCCCAATCCCCAAAATTATAATCCGAGCAGTCTTGGCCTTAGACATTCCTGCGCAATACACGAACTTCAAACCCTCAGTTGGCACTTGCCTACACTTTGGCTGAGCCAAGAAAAAACAAGAACCCTGGGGAACAGTACTACTAACGACCCAGCATTCTGTATTAATCCGGTGGAATTTAAGGGCCGCTTCGACAAGCATCCCTTAGATGGAAGGTGTCTAAACGGGCTTTTCTAAAAGGGTCGCTGAATTCAAGAGCGCACCTTTTGATAAGACGATCCTTGCCACAAAAGTTGTTGGTTTAGGATGGTTTGTCGCTTACTTCGGGTGAATGTGTGTGTGTGTGTGTGTGTGCGCGCGCGCGTGCGTGCGTGATTATGCTGGTAAGAGTGCGGAAGGCGGAAACCTACAGCTAAACCTTGACTCTCCCTGAGCTACGGTTGATGATAAAAATCCTGCATTGCCCATAATAATATATACCATAATTCCCACAGTTTCGGGTCTATAAGGTAGTGCAGGATTAATATCATCAACCGTAGAACCCGAAACAGCCACCCCTCAACGATCGACCCTCAACTCCCAAACCAATGCCACCCCAGGGGAGCGAAATACCACCTTAACATATGGGAGTTTCCGAAAGTTAGGGGTACCTGACTTTGGGGTCACTATAATAAGGATCCTACTAGAGTACTGTATAAGGGTCCCCTATTTCGGAAACTCCCATGTAGAGCCCCTGCAAAGCTCTTGAATTTGTTTCTGGGTTTTCCTTCCCATTCTTCAACCCTAAACCCAATGCCAACGATAACAATGCATGTGAATAAAAGAAATAATTACCATAGTTCTGCCGAAGGGACAGCTCTAGAAGTTCCTTCCTGGGCCGGTTTAGGGTTTAGGGTGTAGGGGTGCAGGGGTTCAGGGCTTGGGGAGCAGGCTTCTGCATGTTCTGTTTTGCTTGTTTGTGGGGTTTAGGGTTTAGGGTTGGGGTCTTGGGTGTTTTGGCCTTTTGGACTGCTTTCACGTGGGTTGAGGTTTGGTCCATTGTGCTCAACGTGTGCTGAATAGTGTTTCTCTGTCTATGTACACTTTGTGCGGTAAACGTCTTACTGCTATGAACGTCGCCTCTACTACTAAATACGCGTCTCCTAGCATTCCTTGGCTGGTGGTGGGAGTAGCACGAGTATCATGCCAAATGGGAGTTGTATATTGTATGAGTTGCAGTAGTGGAAGTGGCAGCGGTAGCGGCAGTGGTAGCGGCAGTGGTAGCGGCAGTGGTAGCGGCAGTGGTGGCGGCGGCGGTGGTGGTGGTGGTGGTGGTGGTGGTGCTGCTGCTGCTGCTGCTGCTGCTGCTGCGGGTGCTGCTGGTCGTAGTCGTCGTCGTCGCAGTAATAGCAGTCGTCGTAGTAGTAGTAGTAGTAGTAGTAGTAGGAGGAGGACGAGGAAGAGGTGGTGATGGAAGTCGTAGTCGTAGTCGCAGCAGCAGCAGTAGTAATTGCATTAAACTGGTCATTCACTAGTATGGCAGCGACAGCTGCATGGAGGCCATCGAGGCCTTCAATACTGGAGATTACAGATGGGCAGCACGGCTCCTAAACTTAAACCCGGCTCTCTTGCATCACAAAGTGTCCGGACAAACACCCTAGACCCTAAACCCTGCACAACCACGATGTCTGATGGGCGCCAAGTTTCCAGATTTGCAGCATCGCCAGCGACAGCACTTGCAATCCCTGCGAATCAAAGAGGCGTACATCATGGCTCTCTGCTTAGGACAGTCTAGAGTCTTGGACTAAGAACCGCCAC